TTATATATAATTATATATTAAAATCATATTTATATTGCTGTATAACATATACTATATTATAGTATATTAATATATATTTATTACATTATATATGCTATATATAACATATGTTTCATATATTATATAATTATATATATTTATATGTATACTTTTTATATATCATAATTTTATTTATATATTTATTATATATAATTTACATATAATATGTATGTTGTCTATTTTTACATTCATTTTCTATACATTTAATATATACTTATATTTATATATTTAATATATAGTTAATATATTTTATAAATAAAAATGATATATTTATACATTTTACATATTCTGTATGTATATTTTTATATATTGAATCTCTTTAATATAGATTAATATACAATATATATTATTTATATATTTTTTAATTTACTGATATCCAAAAAGCCTACAGTAATGTCTGGCACTCAATAGACACTTAATACTTATTGCATGAATGAAAAATTGAAAAGGGGAAGTGGTGGGAAAGGGAGATGGAAACAATTAAGAATCCTCTTGTGTTTCTTGGTTTCATAACTGGGTAGATGATAGTGGAAGGAGATACAAGGTTCAGTGAATATCACAAGTTCCATTTTGTATCTGTTCAGTCAAAGGATATATGAGAGATTCCAGAAGACATATTACATACTATTCTGTATGTCAGAAGTGACCAAGACTATATATTATATATTAATGTAGTATAAAATGGTTACAGACTAGAAGTGAAATGATTACTCACCAGTGAAGAGAAAATTAGCAAGCAAATTTGAAAACTTTAGATCCTCTCCTATTATATCCACCAAAAATAATTTTAAGGTGGATCAAGTATTTTAGAAATACATGTTCATGAATATTCATTTGGTATTGGAATGGAAAAGAACTAAGCATAAAACTTAGTCACAACAAAGAACAAAATAAAAAGTCACAATTTACAAGTTCCATGGAGTTGGGAGTCACAAAAATCACTATTTTAATGTTGCAGAATGTGATAGGTAATCAAAAAGAAAACAAAACATTGGGGGAGATAATTTGAACATAAATAAGATAATAAAAGAGTTAGTATCTTCAACATATACATGAGCCTGGTAAACCAATATGACAAAACAATATTCCATCTATGGGGATGGGGAGGAAAAACACCTCAGTAAAGGTTCTGCTTCAGAAAAAAAAAGTGACAATTTTTTTGCCCACTCTAAATCACTTTTTCCATTAAAACAGATGGTTGTTCTCCATCTCCTCCATTTGGGAAATGCTCCTCCTCAACTTCCTGTAGTACTTTGGTGGCTCTCAGCCACACTACCTTGGCTCCTGCCCACTTTAGAGGACATGTGACCCAGACCTGGCCCATGAGAGACCTGTCATGGAGCAAAAATCATGCCAGTTAGGATCCTTTTGTTGGGTTTTACATGGCCATGAAGAAAGAAAACTTTTCCCCTTTCCATCAGGTTGCTCTGCTGGAATGATTTGAACTTGGAGCTATTTGTAGCCTCTCCTCTCTCCCAACATCACACATAAAGAAATCCATGTGCAAAACAAGAAAATGAGACCAATGTATAAAGAAAAACAGAGTTATAGAGTTACAAGAGAGAGGGAGGACAGAAAGAAATGAAGAGAAGAGCAAAAGAAAGGGGGTGAAACGGAAAGCAAAATCTAAAAGTGTGAAATTCAATGAATCCCTGGAGTTCACACAGCTGGTGTCACTATTGAACATCCCAATAACCCGAGTCAATATATTCCTTTTTTATAAAATACTTATTTACTATTAACTGTGGTTTTAAGTAATGCACATAACATAAAACTTACAATCTTGAGCAGTTTAAACTGTATAATTTGGTAATGTTAAGTGTATTTACATTGTACACTTTTGTACAATATCTCTAGATCCTTTTCCTATTGCAAAAAATATACACTTTTTAGTTACTTTAAGCTAGTTTTGATGGGATTCCTGACACATGTAATTCAAAGAGTTCAGGTTAATAACAACATTTGAAAAATTACAAACATATAAAATTAGAAGGACATTAAAATAAGATTTTATTTTTGTATATTATTTTTTTAATTAATTTTGAGAGCGAGAGAGTGTGTGTGTGTGCGTGTAATAGGGGAAGGGTATAGAGAGAAGGAGAGAAATAATCCCAAGCAGGCTCTGCACTGTCAGCACAGAGCCCTACACAGGTTCAATCTCATGAACCTGACATCATGACCTGAGCAAAAATCAGAAATCGGAGAGTTAGCCAATTGAGCCACCAAGATATACCTCTTTTGTCTCCTAAACTGGCAAATATTTTTAATAAATGGTCATAGTCAGTCCTTTCAAAGAGGTACTAATGTGGATATACTTCTTACCAATCAAAAATTCTTGGGAGAAATTACGATGTGAATCAAGAATTTAAATGATGATTATCCCCTATTAATTCCAAATATATCAATCTCTAAAGGAAGTAACCTGAAATACAGGTAACATATATGTAAGATTTTCAAGATAGAGTAAAAAATTAGAGATGACCTAATTTATCAATTACAGACTTATCAATGACAGACGTATCACAAAGATAATCATGAGAGTGATGTAATGCAATACTATGCATGAACTTAAAATTATTTGTACTAAATATTTGATAATGCAAAAAATTTCTCTGAATGTAATATTCATCAAAAAGTCAGGATAAAAATGTAGAGACCACTAAATCTCCCCTTTATAAATATATATTTTTATTTAGGCAGAGAAAAACACTAGAAATAAATATACCAAAATGTTACCACTAATTATCTCCATATGGTGACTTTATGGGTGATTTCTATTTCATCATCTCTAATTCAAAGTAAATTTTTTTATTAGAAAAAAAATTTTGTAATAGAAAAATGGCATTTTCTTAGATAAATACTAAAACATGGAGGATTCTACATAAGAAATAATGGAAAATACACTCCTCTTCGAACGAGAAATGTATTTATCAATACCCTTTTGATTATAGATGACAAAACCACACCTTAAACAATCTTAAGCAAGAAGATTAATGTATTGGCCCATTGACTGGCTCTGCTGGTCGCCAAATTAATTGGAGGGCAAGAATGAAGCTGAATGCTGAAGACTGCTGGAATCAAGAAATTGGCTACTGCCAAGCTTCTATCTTTAAATCTTATGTCTTCTCCCACATATGTTTCTTTCGGAATCCCAGACTTGATTTTTGACAGCAGGAAATGATTGCCAGCCGTTTCTCCATGTCACAGCTCCAAAACGGATGAGCTTGTTTTCTGTTCTGGAGTCTAACATCCTGAGGAAAAGCTCAGATTTGGCCCATCTTGGTCAGAGGCTCACACCTGAACCTTTCAACTATGGCTAAGAGATGTGACATTATGACTTGGTTCAGAAGCCCCTCCTTTGACCAAACAGTGGTGGTCAGAGAGATAGGATTTACATGTCACCTTCTAATCATATCACATGGTTACTACAAAAGAAAGCTACATTTACCAGGAGAAGGAGGTTGCTGGTTTGAGCAAACACAGACAAGATGTCCACTAGAAGCAGCTATTTCTTCGGAGTAAAAAGAATGGCCTTTAAAATTAAATGATACAGAAAATATGCAGATACTATGCAGTTGGGGAATCTGTCTTATCATACATATAGACCTGACAGAAAAGCAGGAAGACAAAGATTAGGTGGGGAAGGCATTTTTCATAAAACAACACACAAACACAGTGAGGAGTCTGGGAATCCCTGCTAGCCCTGCTGAACATCATTTAATCAGTAAAAGAGAAACTTGAGTGGAATTTCCACTTTCGAAAGACTACTTCCAAACAAATCTTAGGAGACTGAACATTAAGTGCAAGCTAGTAAACTGCTTTCAAAGTGTCCAACAGGGGCTCAAAAAAAAATGAGTGATAAAAGAGCAATTGAAATCAAAACAAAAGGCAAATAAATTATCAAGTGAAATTAACTATGAGGTAAATAAGGACCGTTTATAAGACAACACGAATATTGATAAACTGGTTAATGAGTATGTGGAAGGATATATAAGGCTCAGACTTATTTGTACTACATCTCTGAGAATGAGACTTCGTTCGTCTTTGTTAAAATGGATATGAACTGAAATTTCTAAATCCATGGATGCAAATTCCTCTCACCTACAGAATATAATACGGGCATATATAAAACACCTCCCAAACTAAAATTGAGCTTGCAATGACTCAAATCATGTCAATGCAATGGGAATAGTATTTTTTCATCAGGGGGAAAAAAAGGGTGAACCTGGCTAGTTACAAACAAAATTAAGAATGAATCTTAAAGAACATAGGAGTTAGATAGTCTGAAACAGAGTATAAACAAAAGTCAAAAGTTAAATCTTGTGAGACCATCTAGCACTGTCCAGAGAGAAAGGCGGCCTGGCCTAAGGATCCTATTTTTCCACTTGTGATGGCAGGCATATCCTCGCAGGCATCAAAACCTCAGATGCTTACTTGAATATCCAGCTAACTCCTCTTAACTCTGATTTCTTCCTCAATAATGTGTTTATCATCACTTGACTTCTCATAAATTTCCATATAGTGAACTACTACGTTAGGCTTACATGAAAGTGCAGACCACGTACTGATTTTTTACAGCAAATTAATAAATTGACATCTTGATATAGATATATTTCTATCTGGTATCAATTTGTTTAGTGTCAATCAGCATCCCCTTATATAGTAACCCACTCAGACAATGAAGAGACCCAATTTTGAATCCAGACCACAGTAAATTCATCAAGGTAATGTCTCTTGAGAGACAAACAATTGCCCTTCTCTGGGAGTTACTTTTTATCACACCACATGCCTCCTTCAACCATAGACAACAACACAATTTCTCAGTTAAGATTTCTAAAGAACCTTGTTATTTTAAGCTGGGACAACTAAATGGTAGTAAGGTACTTGGAAACCCATACTGAAACCATAGAAATGTAACGTTACTTTGAGTCAATAAGGAAAATTTGTAATACGTTTGTCATTTAAGAAATCCTTCTATATATAATAAATCGACTGCATACTTTCCTCATTGCCACTTTCATTTCTTTGTTCCTGAATGTATAGATGAGTGAATTAAAAAAAGGAGTGAGAACCGCATCAAAAACAACAAGATATTTGTCTAGGTGTGAGTTGGGGTGAGGCCAGATATAAACAAAGATGCAAGGACCGAAGAACAAAACCACCACCATGACATGAGTTGACAAAGTGGACAGGGCCTTAGATGAGCCTCCTGAAGAGTGTTTCCGAACAGTGATCAGGATAGAAATGTATGAGACAATCAATATGAAGAATGATCCCAGAGATATGAACCCACTGTTGGCTATGACCATGAACTCTAGACTGGAAGTATCTGTGCAGGCAAGTTTGATGAGCCGAGGAAAGTCACAATAAAAGCTGTCTAACACATTAGGGCCACAGAATGGCAATTTTATAACAAAAACCAGTTGAATCACAGAGTGGGTCAACCCAATTACCCATGCAACAAATGAAAGCAAAATACACATTTTTTGGTTTATAATAGTCAAATAGTGCAGAGGCTTACATATGGCAACATATCGGTCAAAGGCCATGGCAATGAGCAGCACCATCTCCACACCACCAATGAAGTGTATAAAGAAGATCTGGGCGATGCAACCATCAAAGGAGATGACTTTACGCTTTCTGAAAAGGTCATAAATCATCCTGGGAGAAATGACAGAAGAAACTCCCAGGTCAATGAAGGAGAGGCTGACCAACAGAAAGTACATGGGAGAGTGTAAGTGAGGGTCAGAAGTCACAGTGAGCATAATGAGGGAGTTGCCCATCATGCTTCCCACATAAAACGTGGAGGAGAACACAAAGAAGAGAAGCTGAATTTCCCAGGAATCGATGAGTCCCACGAACACAAACTCTGACACCACAGAGTGATTCGCTCCATCCATTGACTTATCAGCTTGAATGTTTCCAGATAAGAGAAAATAAAAACAAACTAAAATGAGAATGTTAATAAAGTTCTACATTAAAATGATTAATTAATCAAGGATATTCACATTATAAAAAACTATATATCCCTGCAATTCCTTCTCAGGGTCATTTTCAAATACGTTTTGCCTGGGGTCACCTACAGCAGTTGTCACTTCCACATGCAATATTCCTAACACCATGGCTTCCAGGACTACTGATCTATAAATAAGAAAATGAAGCAAATATGAAAACACAGATGTGTATAGCAAGGATCAGGAGTGGCAGGAGGGTGGTGCAAGGCAACACAAACAGAAAAAAAAGAAGAGATAAAGATTACATTTGCCAGAATTCATTGGTACTATTTTTTTTAAGTTTATTTATTTATTTTGAGAGAGACAGAGATAGCAGAGTGGGGTAGGTGCAGAGAGCGAGGCAGAGAAAGAGAGAGAATCCCAAGCAAACTCTGTGGTGCCATTCAATATTATTATCAACACAAACCTCATTAGTGATTACCTAGTCCATGCTAATCATTTACAAATGAGAAAACAGTAATCCAGTGAGGAGCAACCTAGCTACAGAGAATCCAGGTTTTCTAGTCTATGGCTTCAGACTCCATACGCTAGAAAAATCATAAAGTGAGAAGAGATATGCCAAACCTAGATCTACTCAGTCCAAAACAGTATCCACTAGTTCCATATGGTTATTAAATTAAATTAAAAATCTATTTCCTTGGTTACACTAGCCACACATATCAAGTGCTCAATAGCCTCCTCTAGCTAGTGTTTATATAGAGGGTAGTTCGATACAGAACATTTCCAAGCCCTACTCATCCCTTAAAGATAAATCAAAATCCCTTTTCCTCTATGAAAATTTCCCCAGTACTACATTTTACATAATTGTCTTTTCTCTCTCATTCCTAGAAGTCAGGAAAGTTAAATTTTAATTGCAAAACAGTAATTCACCAGACTAAAAATAGATCACAACATACATCATCACAGGACACATTCCAGATGTCTACTGTTTGCCAACAAGGACACGTAAGAATCTGTGAAATCAGAGGAGAAAGGTGTTGTGAGTTTTGAAAAAACAGTAGGAGTTTAATAAGGTAAGAGGGGAAAGGAAAGTGTTCTAAGAGATAATAACTGCCCCATATTTAGAGCGAATCCTTTGCTACTAACCATAATTCTTCAATGGTTTCAATTTTTTTAATGTTTTATTTATTTTTGAGAGAAGAGAGAGAGCATAAGTGAGGGAGGGGCAGATAGAGAAAGGGATGGAGGATCCAAAGTGGGCTCAAAGCAGGCAAAACAGAGCCCAACGTGGAGATCAAACCCATGAACCATGAGATCATGACCTGACTGGAAGTCAGACTCTCAAGTGAGCGACCTACCCAGAATGTCCCCTCAATCATTTCAGTTTTATATTTTTCTCCTCAAATATATTGTAGCAATCGTTTCTTGAATATATAGTTAATATGTCTCTGAAGTAAAACTATTTTCTCAAGTCCATAATTTGTCACAGTTTCTGTTTTCCTCATCTGCCATATTTTTCCATTAAGTCCAGCATGCATAAAGGAAGTCTCCAAATTCAAAACGAAGCATTAACATATTTCCCAAACACTCCCAAAGGCATGCCTGGTATTCTTGCTATAAATTTCTCCTTGGGAGTAGGGAAGCCGCATCTCAAGTCTTATAATGGCTTATGGTTTAACTTTATGATATTTTAGAAAACAAGAAGCACCTAAAATGAAAACAAAGGCAGGGCCCAGGGGGTAGGTAGGCATGGAACAGTTCCAGTAGAAGTCAACATATGAGGAAATTTACACAGTTTCTATATTCCAGCCTTCATAACATAATTAGTAGACATCTTCCATCCCATCATTGAAGTCAGAAATGAAAATATAGATTTTTTTTCCACAACATTTTAAAAGTTTCTAACATATTTAATGATGGAATCTGTATGGATTTAATGATGGAATAACGTATGATGAAAATAATCATACATTATTTTCATGGCACATATTTACTAAGTACTTTCATACATTTGATGCTTGTAATTCTCTGTAGGGGTAGATATATCTGATAGAATTATTTTCATTATAGATGAAAAATCTCAAATTCCAAGAAGTTACCTAAAAGCATAGTTACTTAGTTTGAAACAAGAAACCAGGTCTTCTGATTCCAAATCCAGTGCTGTTTTGACCACATCAAAGTAAAGATGCATGTTTGTGCATGATCTAAAACAATGATTCCTGCTGTAAATTTTAGCCACAAGAAAACAAAAAAAGGACACCTTAAATTGGCACACTGTTATAGGTCGCTATATTTCAATAAATCTGGGAAGAAAAGAATTTCATTTTACTCAGAAGAATATTTTATCCCACCCACATAAACATTTAATACATATATAAATTAACTTACCAAGGTTTTATAGCTACTAGTGGCAGAGCCAAGACTTAAACCTACATATTAGTGTACAAGTTAAAGGGAAGAGAGAAAGGTGGTGGTTCATTAGAATGGAAGGGAAAAATTCACCAAAGTTTTGGTGCTAGGAAAATTCTCCAAAGTCAGGCGGTCATTATTCATAAAAAGTCATAGTTATTGACAGACAAGAAATATTCCAGGTAGAGACAAAAATTTAGAAGTCATCCAAAATGTGGTCATGAGAAAGAAATATTTGCTTTAAGGATAACATATAAACATAATTTTAAGAAGCTAATGGAGGAAACACGCATGGCCAAAAAAGAAGACATGGTATTTGCCATCATCATTATTATATTACTATTACTACTAATCTTACATACTATCTGCCTTTTAAAAGCCCTGTTTCCACACACAAAAATGAGGGAGAAAGGAATGTCATAGAATTAAGGAAAGGTTCACTTTCATATGCTAAAGAGTGATCAAAATGAGAAGACTAAGTAAAAGGCATAGATTTAGGACTGAGATCTCACTGCTGCCATTAGAGAGAGCAGATAAAATCAAAACAGAAAAATCAAGATTTTATGAGGGTAACTGATGGTGCCAAAGTGGAGAATGTAAAATCAGGAAATGAAAAATAATGTCAATAATCTAGGGGAAGAGGTTTGGGAATGGGGGGGAGTGGGAAAATAAGGCAATATGCTATGTGCAGAAAATTTGCAGTGACAGAAATCTACAGTTATGAGATAAAGAGTTCCCAAGCAACTGTGAGAATCTTGTTGAAGCTGGGTATTTCAAACTTAGACAAAAACTAGAGGAAATCTTTCTCTGACACCATTCAGAAACATTCAGAAACTGAATACTCAGAATTTTAGAGCAGCTTATTTGTTTGACACAATAAAGACAGTGAGGTATCAAAAGAGTCAGAGATCCATTTTTCAGTATTTTTGTTTCTTAAATTCTACATGAGTGAAATCATGTGGTAATTATCTTGCTCTAACTTATTTTGCTTAGTATTATACTCTCTAGATGCACCCATGTTGTTGCAAATGGCAAGGTTTCATTCTTTTTATGGCTGAATAATATTCTATTGTATATATATCTATCACACCTTCTTTATCCATTCAGCTATCAATGGACACTCAGACTGCTTCCATAATCTGGCTATTGTGAATAGTGGTGCAGTAAACACAGGGGAGCATATATCCTTTTGACTCTTAACAATAGAGAACTGGCGGTTACCAGCGAGGAGGTGGGTGAGGGAATGGGTAAAACAGGTAAAGGGGATTAAGAGTACATTTATAATGATGAGCACTGAGCAATGTACAGAATTGTTGAATCACATTATTGCACACCTGGTCTAATATAATGCTATAACTATCTGGATTTAAATTAAAAATGTAATAAAAATTAAACACATTCCCTTGGGGGGAAAAAGATGAAAGAAAGAAAGAAAAGAAAGAAAGAAAAGAAAGAAAGCAAGAAAGAAAGAAAGAAAGAGAGAGATCGATCTTAGGAGGCCTGAGGTCACAGTGAAATTGTTTGACCAAATCACATACTGGGCAATGTATATGCTGACATATGGATAAAACAGAATACAGATCAGAGACCTTAAAAGCAGATACAGTAATTGTAAGCTTGTGGTAACTCTAGAGTTTACCCTTTCTCCCATACCTTGATTCTCAAAGCTGTATTCCCATTAAAAGTCAACATCACTACAACATTCTGACTATAGATAACACTGTTCTATCTATGATATATAAGAAAATTGTTAAGTTAATCTTAAGAGTTCTCATCCAAAGGAGAATGTTTTCTCTTTTTATTTAATCTATGAAATGATGGATAGTAACTAAACCTATTGTGTTTGTCATTTCATAATATAGGTAAACCAATCCATCATCTTCTACACTAAATAGTGATATATGTCAATTGTTTCTCAATAAAACTGGAAAAATCAATTTCACTTTCTTTCATGTACCTATCTCTATACAGTTGCCCCAACCCTTCTCTCCTGTACAATTCCTGCTTCTGTTCATTTTATTATATCCTTCCTCTCTGGAAGCATAGGAACCTGTGAAGGAGAGTCTCCTTGTAGAGTATGGTTCACCAACCCCTCCACCCCTCTTCACCACCACCACTACCTACCTAATCTGTCAAAAGATCTCAGAAGATCAGGGTGTGGGAATCAAAGGTGTTCCACAGACTGAATTTTCTCCTGTGCCTGAGCATTGCCCATATCCTTCCACTCACCCTACCTAGGACAAGAAGCTAAATACAACTCTGCTATTTTGAGAAAGGCACCTAATTAAGCTAAAGCACAAGGTGATAACCAAATGATGCATTAGAGTTCTGGGATTCTCAGCCTGAGGTCATCAGTCCAAGGGAACTGTCCCATAGGATTATAAGGGAGGTAGAAAAAAAATAAAGTTCTACTATTTTATTTCTTATATACTTCTTTAACTTTATTTATATAACCCAGAGAAATCTCTAGTAAAAGGAAAAAATGTACTTTATATTTTTTACATGGAAAAAAATTCCAAAACTCTCATGAAAATAGG